TGGTATGTTTATTTTTTGTTACAACATACATGCGTCTGAATACTTGGAAAAATTATTTTATATTTCATTCAGTCAAATTTTTAGATTCCTCTCTACCTTCTGCATTCATGACTGTACCTGGTTTGGGAAAAATCCCTGATAAGTTACGAACCAAGAATATTGGTATCTCTTTTACTCTAGCAAATGAGAAAGAAGCAAGGTATATGTGTTAACCATGTTTTAGGATTTTCCCAACCTCGATGATATGAAGGAAGAGTCAGCATCCCTTTTATCTGGATTGAGAGCTGTGTGGGACTCAACTCTTCTCTACTTTGAAGGGATATTTTAAAGCCAGAACCAGTAATCAAAATGAGAAGTGTCTGAAGAAGCCTGACATGAATGACTAAAGAAGACATTTTGTCATTCACGCACAGGAAATTTTTTATTTAGTAGGCCTTATCAGCATAGTTCCTAAGCCCTGCAAATTTGTTAAATATAGAAATGAGGCTATATAACATTTTAATTAACAAAGGTTTAATTATCTTTGAAATATATCACAGCAACTTACGATGCAATTCAACTCAGAGTTGTACAAAATTAAAGTGAGCTGTGGGTTATTTTAAGTTGATATCCTATAGGATAGCTCTTCTAAAAGTAAGATGAGTAAGGCATATGAAGTTCTTAGAATGACCCTGATTCCACCTTTTCATAAAAAAGAACCTCATCCTACTTTATATGAGCTACTGTGTCAGTGCCTTGAACTCAAGAGTTGGGCGTGCACTGTCAAGAGTGATGTGGCCTGAGCTCTGGAGACGTAACTGATGGGGAGGTGCTTGAGAACCTTCCTCAGCTTGGTGGACTGGCCATTTGGGTCTTCTGTCCCAGTTTGAACACTGGCAATGCAGGGACCTATGGGGCAGGAAATGACTACTTGGAGACAGGCAGTGGGATGGCTGGGAAGGGCCCCAGTTCTCCTTGTACTCTTGCGGTCCTGTAACGCTTGTAGTTAATTGTGTTGGGAAGAGATTCACCTAAAACCTGAATCACATGACACAATGGACAAATATTGTATGATTCCACTCTCATGAAGTCACTAGAACAGGTAACTTCATGGAGACAGAAAGTGGATTGGGGTGACCAGGGCTGGGGGAAGGGAGAGATGGGCAGTTACTGCTTTATGGGCACCGGGCTTCTGTTTGGGGTGATGACAGATATAGGGAATAGTTGTACAACATTGTGAACGTAATTAATGCCACTGGACTGGGCCCTTCAAAACGGTTAAAAGGGAAAGTGTTTTTTTGCCAAAATTTTCTAAATTTAAAAGTGAAAAAAGAAAAACAAGGGAGAAAAGCTCACAGTGGGATATTTTGCAGAATGAACATCTTATTAACAGCATTAGGCTCGGCTGCAGCCTTCAGGAGCCAGAAGAGGCTGAGCTGGTTTTTCTTTTACTTTCTAAGAGGATAAATCTTCACTTCCCTTTAGAATGCAGAGCACGGATTCTGGCTCATGCCCTGTTATTTATTGCTGCCAGGCCAAGGGGAGCCAGCCAGGGGAACCACACAGGTGCCAGGCTGGGTTTGACTAGCTGGCATATGTGGTTTCTAAGTACTCAGTTTGCTATGCCCAAGGGACTGAATATGGAAAGATCTTGTTCCCTGCATCTCAATTCCAAAAATAAACACAAGTCTCCTAAGTAAACTGGCACTGCCATCAGTATCCAAGCAGTTGTACCTCCTTGTAGGTGAGGGCACATAGAAGACCCTTTGGGTATTAAGATTTAAACCCACATTGAATGGTGTCCAACCCAGATGTATTTTATAGAGAATCATTTTCTTCTCTCTTATACTGAGGTCTTAGTGGTGCTCTAGTCATCATGTGTTTGCTTGTTCAGACATGCCATTAAAAGCAAGTTGTGTTTGGAGAAGGAGAATGCATGGGAAGATGAAAGATTGAAATTTAAGATACATCCAGAAGACACGAAGTGTTATGGAGAGAAGGCACATGTCCCCGACAACTGGAAACCCATCAACCTGTATCCATTCAGTTTAATCTAATGTGAGACTGTGAAGGGGCTGTGGGTCCTATATGCAGAGCATGACCATTGGAAGACTCAAGAGTCATGCGGTGACATTGAAAAATGTCAGTGTGATAGAAATTCCATCTGTACATGTATATGTGGGGGTGCATGTGAATTTCATAGAGGGTCCCTGGATGTGTAGTCTTAACTTCCTTAATTTGTAAATGAAACAGCAGCATCGGGGAACTTAAGTGACTTGCCTAAGTAACTGTCACTTAAAAGTGATCCGGAAATCTCTTCTAGAAGAGCCCTTTCATTATTCTGTGGGATGGTTTTATGCACCTCCTATGAGCAAAGGACAAAAACTGATTTTGGCAATTTCCTAATTGGAAAATGGACCTAGAATTGGATAAAGGAAAACATCTGTCAAAAAGAAAAAATGGGCCTAGAGGAAAAATTGGAAAGATTTACAGCATTTCTGATATTCCTTTGGCAATAGAAGACCTGGAGGTGTGAATGATTGCTGTTTCCATTGAGGGTAAGAACTAGACTCAACGCTGAATAATGTAAGGCAAGACAGCATTCAGCATGCACTGCTTGTTTTTTTTTTTTTCCTTGTTGTAAGAATGAGGTCCTCATTTTCTCTTGTCACTTCATGCCGAAACCATCGGACATAGTCCTTTTTGTTTGGGGGTGTCCCTGACACCAGCACGTGTGGTGTGACTTGTTGTATACATGTCTTAGAACCAGCGTGGAAACTCATTGAAACCCTTACCTTTCTGTGTGCCTAGTAGTTACCTTGCATGTTGCTGCTACTCAGTCATAGTTTCTGGATAAATACCAAATGAATCTACAGCAGACCACGTTAGTTCATGCAACTGGAGACCGGTGATCCTTCCTAGCCCTTCCCCAGATGACCTTATAATCCCTCCTGAAACATTTCCTCTGGTCCCTCCACCTCCCAAATTCTGCTGAAGCTGGGCGAGATTTCTTTGTTAAAATATGATAAACAGTTATTTAAGAGGCTTCTCTAAAATGAACTACAGGTTTAAAAATATATAAATCCCAATGTGGGACTCGATCCCAGGACCCTGGGACTGTTGGGTCCCCAATGTTGGGTCCTCCAATAATGGGTCTGTGATTAAAGGAGAAAGACTGATGCAAAGCGAAGGTCAAGCAAAGTTTTATTTCACGCCAAGCATCAAGAATCAAACTGACCGTCAAACAGACCGGTCAGGGCCGCCCCTTACAGAGAGGGTGACCTGTCTCTCCCTCACAGACCAACTTTTATAGAGCAAAGGCCATGTGGTTGGGCCTGGCCATGCACAGGTGGCCAGTGAAATTGTAACACACAGAGAAAGCTGCACAGTCATGCTAGGTGACCCATTGAATTACAATTTACCCTAGTAGACATTTGAACCAGCCTATCACCTTGGTCAGAATTGGTGCTTAAAAGGTGCCCAAAGGGCGGGGCCCATACTCCTTGGTAACTAGGGAGACAATATGCGCCACTGATGGGATATCTCCACCTGGCCTGACCCACCCTTGTATGTGGGCTTTGTTACCTGGGACTGGTTTCCGGGACTTGTTTTTAAGTAAGTTCCCCTGGTGGGGGCGGGGGGCGGGGCAGGGTCAATTTAAGTTTTACAACAAAATGGCAGTTCAACCCAGGTAGGGCCGCTCTGGCTGAATAGGCCTTACAGGACCGGGACCCGAGCTGAAGGCAGCCGCTTAACCCACTGAGCTCTCCCAGGAGCCCCTGCAGCTCTTTGCTCAAGCGGGGAGCCTGCTTCTCCCCTGCTTTCCACTCCCCTTGCTTGTGCTTGCTTTCTCCCTCTCTCTTTCTTTGTCTGTGTCAAATAAATACATAAAAAATAAAAAAATAAAACAAAAATATATAAATCAGGGGACCATTGGAGACCAGTTTTCCTTTGCCACTATGAGAGGAGGCATTTACAACCACACAGGGCTCCCAGCTGACTGCCACCTGTGTGCTGCATACCCGTGCTCGCTCCTGCGTCCAAGACCTCATCCCGTCCTGCTGGAGTCCTCTCTTGTCACTGTGGACTTTCTCACCGATAGTCGGCTTAAGTGACTTGCTGTTTTTGTGTTAATTATGAAATTTGTAGGCACGTTTTACTGCCTGTATGAAGGATGGGGAATAATAACGATGTGTAAACTCATAGTCCCGCTGAAGGATTGGGGTGCTCCTGCATGGGTCCAGTCCTCCCTGTGCCCCCTGCAATGCCATCACCGCGGGCAGGTCCTGTGCGTCAGATTTTGTGTCTGTCACACCCTTGTTATGCTCCTCACAGTTCTTTGACTGATGTCTGTATCAGAAGATGAGTTTTGGCTGTTTGGAATCGAATGTAAATGGAATCATGCTCAGTGTGTTCCTTTCCATCTGTTTTTTTTCAATCAGCATCATAGTTCTGAGATTTTCTTTTGTGCAAGCTCTGTTTCAGTTTTTTCACTCTCACCGTTTCAGAGCAATTTCTTGCCGGTCTGTCTTGCTCCCTCCATTCTTCTCTCCCCCCTGTTCTTTCCTCGGCTCCTCTCTCCCTGTCTCCCTCCCTTCCTGTCCCCCTTCCACATATTTATCAAATTCCTCCCATGTGTCCGATGCCATTCTAGGCTCCGTGGACAGACACAGTAGTAAATAAAACAAGAACAAAATTCTTGCCCTCAAAAAAAAAAAAAAAAAAAAAAATCCTTGCCCCAGTGGAACTTGTTTTAGGTGGAGACACAATGCCAAACAACATAAATTGTCATAATATTCATGGATTAGATGTTAATAATTATCAGGCATGAAAATAAGGCATGAAAGGGGTCAGGGCCCCTGATAAGCAGCGGTGATTTTCAATATTAAAAAGGATGGTTAGGGAATATGACAGCCGTTCATTGCCTTTCTCCAGCTGAATGGCATTTGGTTGTTTTGTTTTTAGGCCATTGTGAACAAGGCTTTCTGTGTCATCAGCTGCAGAGGTACTGATGTATTTCCCAGGTATATATTCCTAGGAGTGGGACTGTGGGATTTTCTAGAAATGCCAAATGGCTTTCCATTGCTGATGATGTATCCATCCCTGCATCTTCAGAACCCAGCAGAGTGTACGGCCCAGACTTAGGCTAACACTGGCTTGACCAAAGAGAACTTCATTGTAGACACAAGAACAGCAGGGACTAACTCCTGAAACCTCCTTCATCGTCCAGTGGTGCTCTGCTGTTTCTGCACCAGACCTTCTGTGGAACGCAGAGAGCAGCCTTCCGCTTATTTTCTGTGCTAAACTATTCTTAGAGAATGCCTTCTGACATTTGGTTGAGCTCCTGTTGGCTGTGACAACTGGAGTCACAGAAGCCACGTCAGGAATAAAGAACGTTCGGGAGAAGTCGACTCTAGCTGTTTATTGCAAGGATTTCTCACTCTCCTATTTGAAACAGCCCTGGAAGAATTCAAGTTCTCTTTATAGGACATCATGCCCCCTTTCCTCTGTGCTCCTGGCTTCCAAAGCTTGCCTCAAGAGCAGGCTCTCCAGCCCCCGGGTGGAATCAGAAGTCTGCACTTGAACTTGCACCTCTGCAATTCCTGTCCAGCTGATGTTTTGGCAAGCAGAGTATTACAGTTTAAAATTGATCCTTCCTTGCTTGTGGAAAATGAATCTAAGGTACTTAGGGAATTATTTGGGCCTGGGAAGGCTTGGTGCTTCATAAAAGGAGGTTCTGGGCTGAAGGAGTCTTGAAATAGGTCAAGTCCTGGAGTTGTGCCTTTACTTTCTAAATATTTAAAATAAAAATGGGTGGTTACATCCAGTCGCTCTCATCGTGCTTTAAAATGTCCTGTCTCAGCACTTAAGATAAAAAAGTCACTTCTTATAAAGCCCGTTTTAGTGCCAACATTGGTGACTGTTCATCCCGGTTAGCACATTTAACAGATGAGTTGTGTGTTGGTTTTTTTTTCCTGTTCTCATTCTTTTCAGTGTATATTGAACCATTTAGTTACCAACCAATTTTTATTAAAAGTTGGGATATAATATTCTTCCTAATAGACGGTTCTTGGTATATATAAGATTCCTGAGTATTTCCCCCTCTTTCCGCCATTATAAAAAAAGCCACAATGTGCATTTTTGTTATATTAATGTAGAAGAGGGTAACAGTTGTGTGTTGTGCTTTTTTTGTTTGTTTGTTTGCCATTTCAGCATAAATGGCCATTCTTAAAATTCTAGCTCCAGCTCTTAAAAATAATTTTCAGCCTCAATCTAGTGGGTTAGGCAGTTGTGATCTCAGTGTGTGTGTGTCTCTGTGTGTGTGTGTTTGTGTGTGTGTACACATGGTATATTTAGTGAACCTCATTCTAGATTTTCTCCAGGAAGTTGCTGGAAGTGAATAGTGTAGTGTTCATGAGATATATTGAATGCATAAATAATGAATAGAAGCGTACTCCCAGTATCAGAGCAAGAAGCAAAAAATAAGGGAAAAGAAATATCTGAAGGACAGTTTGGTAAAGGAAAACGTATCTTGTTCACTATTTCAGTTAACTGTTTGGTGACCTGCCATGTCACTTTCTTTGTCTCTCCTGTTAGTGTGTTTTTGTTGTTGTTGTTGTTTCTTGTAAGTAATCTCTACACCCAACGTAGGGCTCGAACTCATGACCCTGAGATCCAGAGTCACACGGTCCACCAACGGAGCCAGCCAGGCACCTCTTCCCTCCTCATAGTGTGACTGTGGCCCAGTATCCAGGATGCCAGATGGCTTTCAGAAGGGTTCTGACGGCAAACCCACAGAAGTCCATTCAGTGAGAGTTACATGGATGAAGATGTAATTTGGTTCACGATATGCCTGAGATGCAGTCAAAGGTTGCAAGGTTTGTTCTCTTGGCCCCTGTAGGAAAGATGCACAACACTTGTAATGAAAGGCCTGGGAACAGTTATGTGGTCTTTATAAAAAAAAGAAAGCATTGTAAGTCTTTCAAAACAGAAGAAAAATGCTGTGATGTATTTGTGTGTGGCTTCTTTTTGAAATAAAGATACAACTTTGGAAAAGCAAATAAAACTAAGCATTTGTAGATGTTTCTAATACGCTGCTATTAAAATAACAGTCATAAAAATAGTAGATTTTCCTATAGTAAGGAGAAAAAAAAAAGGCATATGATCTTTTCCATCAAAGTGAATGGCAGTTGGCTGCATTTTCCTATGTTTCTGATATGATTTTTCCATGCCATAGAAATATGATTAATTTGTGCTTAAGAAAAGTTTGTCAAATTTCCGTGAAGAAAATATTTATTGAAACCTAGACTGTTTCTAACATGACACCATGTTTTTCCGGTAAAAACGTGAAGCTGGGGAAAGGTAATATTCAAATGGAAGGAAACCTTCATCTTCATTCAGTGAAACTAGCTTATGGTTTGGTGGTAACTTTTTAAAAGGAGACAAGGCGAGAATGGGGTCATGTGTCTCCCTGTCATGTTGTATTACTTAGCCTTCTCCAGAGAAATGGAATCAGTAGGGTGTGTCTACATGTGGATGTACATATATCTGTGTGTGTGTATATAGAGATATATGGGCTGACACAGTTATGGTGGCAGACATGTCCCAAGATGTGTAGTCGGTAAGCTGGAGATCCAGGAGGACCATGATGTGGTTCCAGCAAATGCTAGCAGGCTCAAGACCGCAAAGGAGCCAGTGTTTCATTTCAAGTCCGAAGTCAAGAAAGAAGGGAGCCCCAATTCAAGGAGTCAGGCAGGAGGAGTTCTCTCTTACTCACTGGATGGTTAGCTTTTTTGTCTATTCTGGCCTTCAACTGATTGGATGAGGCCCACCCACACTGGAGAGGATATCTGCTTTGTACAGTCTCCCAATTCAGATGTTAATCTCATCCAAAACACTCTCATTCTCACATCCAGAAGAAATGTTCCACCAAGTATCTGGGTACCCTGGCCCTGTGATTCAGTCAAGTTGACACATTCAAATTAAGCATTATACATATCAAAAAAGATGTTATTTTTAAAGGATAGGAAGAAGAAAAACACAGAAGACAGGAGACTAAGACATTTACAGCAATCTGTCCTGGAAAATTCACTTCTCTTCTGTTTCTTGTATTGAAATTAGATTGAAGATGATGTAAAATGCTTCAGGATGTAGACACTTTTTATGTTGCAGTGAGAGTGTGGGATCCAAGTTCACTATTATATTGAAAAGGAATTTGGATGGATGGAAGACTTAAATTGAGCAGGTTTCCAAGAACCTGTGGTCCAGTACTTTTTTTTTTTTTAATTTGAGCATAAGTAGTAAAAATGAACAACTAGCATTTCAATTGTAAGTGCAGTTGGCAAAGGGGCACTGGCTTCTCTTGTTTTACTCAGGCAAGCCAACTTAGGAATACCGAACAATAGTTGAGTAATTTTCCCCAAGGATGTCTGTAAACCATTTAAATCAATTTGAGTAACTACCATGTGTGCTGCCCTGGGCTAGGTGTGGCTGTAAGGGATGTGACTCACAGCGAACACTCGGGGACAGAAAGGACCTTGGCTTTCTAAATGTGAACATGGATTTGGGGACCTGGACGTGAGTTCCAACGCTGTAAATGCCACATGTTGTCCACGAAGCAAGTTTGTGAGAAACATATTTTATTGCAAAGGAATCAATATTTCAAGCATTTGAAAAAGCTGATGGCTTCTTTTTCTGCAGTCCCTGATATTCAGTGGGTTGGGTTCCTTAGCCCTGGTGTGTCAAGTGCAGGGTCCTACATGCATATCCTGCTATTTATGACCTATCTGTGTGGACTTGCCCTTCTCCTGGAAACTGCAAATCTCTTTGGAAATAAATGTATTTGTACATGTAGAAAGTCTGTCAGAAAAGGTTTACTGCGGAAGCATGTTTTCCCCCCAGTGAGACACTGAGTCACACAGTTTACTTCCAGTGGGGGAGCTGGGACAATAGTCATTTTGATCCAAATGATGTGCATTTGTCTGCCTCACACCACATGGCTGCGGTCACATCCATCTGGAACCTGTCGCACCTGGAGGGCACCAGCAGTCTGGATTGTAACTAAGCTAGTAGCTCATTAGCATTATTTTCAGGCCTTTTTTTTTAACCTGGTTCATTGGTTCATTTGTTCCCTCCTTTCTCCCTCAGTCTCTCCCTCCCTCCCTTCTTCCCTCCTTCCTGTCCTTCTTTCCTCCCCCATCTTCCCTCTCCTCTCTCTCCTTCCCTCCTTTCCTTCCTTCCTTCCTTTCCTTCCTTCCCTCCCTTCTCTTCCCTTCCCCCCTCCCCTCCCTTTCCTTTCTTACCTCCCTTTCCTTTCTCCCCTTCCTTCCCTCCCTTTCCTGCCCTCCCCCCCTCCCTCCCTCTCTCCCTCCTTCTCTCCCTTCCTTCCTCTGTGTATTCTAGAGCAATTTCAGGCCCACAGCAAAATTGAATGAAAGGTACAGAGATTTTCCATATATCACCTGACCATATATATGCATAAGCTCTCCCACTGGCAGCATTCCCCCCACTACAGTGGGACATTTATTACAACTAATGAACCCACATTGACACATTCTTTTCATACAGGGTCTGAGGTTCCCATTAGGAATCACACAGATGATGTACCTTCGGGGAGTTTGAGCAACTGTGTAATGACATGCGTCCACAGTTACGGCGTCCTACAGAGTAACTTCACTTCCCTAACAATGTCCTGTTGTCTGCCTATGCACCCCTACCTGTCCTCAACATAGAGGACTTTTCTTTTCCTGTTAATAATTAATGACTGCCATACTCTTAGATTTCTACTTAGTTGATACATTTTATCAATAGAAAATAGTATTCTTTTTTTCTTATAAATTATAGAGTAGAATATTAAATGCTTCAATGATTTAATATGCTCTCTAATTTTTTGTATTGCTAAAAATGTATGAACTAAGTAGAAATCCTTATAGGGTAGAAATGAACTGGAAGGAACTGAATTAAATCCTTCCATCTTATGTACCAGCAAACAGAGGCCAGGAAAAATTGGTGGTTTGCTCAAATATAAATGAAATAAATCTAAAAATGTCTCCAAGTCTGTAGGGAAAAAAATCCCTCAAAGTTTATTTTTCTTCCCAAAAAACGATTCTCGTTGAATTGAATTAATTAGAAAATGTGTGTCTGCCTTGCAGACGAGCTTCAGTGACTGCTAACTGGGATCTAGATGATCTTCATGGAGAGCCCTTTCCCCATTTGTGAAGCCTGTGCACTTCTTGTCATCAGGATTGTGCATTCTGCCCAATTCAGAGTGTGCAGGTCCAAGATAAAGGAGGTGGCTAATGTGTGTAGCTGACCAGCTCTGCTCAAGGCCACCGGCTGTCCATCTCTCACTCCAGGCTGCCCCCGTGCACTTGCCAGCTCTCAAAAGAAGTGTCTTCCTGTGTTAGGTTGTAGGATGTGTGTTTTCTGCAGCTCCATATACCCCTAAGCAGAGACTAGGGAGCCCTTCACCCCCCATCTCACTACAGCTGTGTGGGCTGGTTCCTTTTGAGCTCCTGGGTTATAGCTGTGCTTTAATTTTCATGAAATGAAACCTTTAAAATGTCATTGTTTTAGGAACTAAGACATCTGTTTTCCACAAGCAGATTCAAATCCCAAAACAGAATTGAAATCGTAAGACCTAACCAAGAGTTCGACTGCCATTTAAATCAGTGGTGCTTTTT